TTTCGTCGAAAATTTTCGATAGAATTCGTTTTCCGTCGAAAACCATTACAACAATTTTCGACGGAATTCTATTCATTTTCCGTAGAAATTTTTTGACAGAATTCATTTTCCGTCGAAAACCATTATAATAATTTTCGACGGAATTCCATTGATTTTTCGTCGCAAATTTTCAACGGAATCATTTTTCCGTCGAAAACCAATACAACAATTTTTGACAGAATTCCATTGTTTTTCCGTCGAAAATTTTTCACGGAATTTTAATTCCGTCAAAAAATGTTATCAACAAAGAGAAATTCGACGACTTGAATCCCTTCGAAAAATCCATTTTCGACGGAATTTTCACCATTTTCGACGGAAAAATTCCGTCGAAAAAATTGACTTTTCTAATCTGATTGGCAGATTAGTTCATAGACACACGGGCACAGACTTTTGGTTCATCAAGAAACTGGAGATTATGGCGCTGTTTGATTTCTATATTGGAAAACAGTTTTTTAGTTTTGAAAACAAAAAAATTAAAAAAATTGTTTGATAATGGTTATTCTATGAAAACGTATTAAAAACTGTATCTGCGTTTTGATTTTTAAAACTAAAATCAGAGAACATCTCAGAGATGTTTTTTGGATTTTGATTCTGAAATATAAAAAAAAACACGGAAAACTATGCAATGTAGTAATAATGTAAGAATTGAAAACAATAGAAAAATGAATAGCATTTTATAGAAATTTGAAAACAATAGAAATTAAAAAAACTGTTTTAGCTTTCACTCTCTTCAAACAGATTTTATTGTTTTTCAATTTTTAAAATTCTTTTCAAAACATTGTCATCAAACAAGTTTTTTCTTCTTTTATTCTACGAAACAATATTTATAAATTGCTCTACAAAATAATTATAAAAACAAAAAAATTAAAACACAATCAAACATGTCGTATGTATGACTCAAGTGAAATAATGAATAGACAAAGATAAAGTATGAATAGGAAGGGAATTATGCAATGACCCACCTCGGCATAACTGAATGTGGGATCAAAGAATTCGTCCATGGAGCTCTGTTGTGAACGAAAATGGGAAGAATAGACAAGATTGGAAAAACAAACGTATTGGTTAGAGAGTAATGAAAATTAGGTATATTGACACTTATTTATAGAGACAATGAGTGTACGTGAGACTAGAGATAAGGCAAAAAGACATATCAAGGAATATTAAAATCTTCCTTGTAGAAAAAAAATATCGAGTTTCCATTTTCTTTTTTTATACATTATTTCTATATTCTATTCGGTGATATGATTTGAAAATGAATTTTTATTCTCTATCAGGTGATATGGTTTGGATTACTCAAAATTTACTTACTATTTTTTAGGATACTGTGGCCAATGATTTAATTTGATTAAATTTTCCTTATATATAATTTCTCTAATAAACAAAAATATAAACGCCAACTATTTCAATTTTAATTTAGTGAAAAAATCCAAAAAAATCCCTATAGTTTTCCTTTGAATACTAACCCCCTCATGCTTTTTTTTAATCACTTACATGTTACGCCCCTATGATTTTTTTTTTATCCAAATCCCTCTTTAACATTGTTATAAATTTAATTAATATATTTATTTTATTCTTCTTACAAGAAAAAAAATAAAGTGATGACAAAAAAAAGACCAAATATTTGAAAACTTCTAACATTTACAAAAAATACTAAAACTAAAATGAATTTACAAAAAATAAAGATATGATTTGAAAATGAATTTTTATTCACTATCAGGTCATGATATGGTTTGGAATCCTCAAAATTTACTTACTATTTTTTAGGATACTGTGGCTAATGATTTAATTTGATTAAATTTTCCTTATATATAATTTCTCTAATAAACAAAAATATAAACGCCAATTATTTCAATTTTAATTTAGTGAAAAACTCAAAAAATTCCCTATAGTTTTCCTTTGAATACTAACCCCCTCATGCTTTTTTTTAATCACTTACATGTTACGCCCCTATGATTTTTTTTATCCAAATCCCTCCTTAACATTGTTATAAATTTAATTAATATATCTATTTTATCCTTCTTACAAGAAAAAAAAGTGATGACAAAAAAAAGATCAAATATTTGAAAACTACTAACATTTACAAAAAATACTAAAACTAAAATGAATTTACAAAAAATAAAGATATGATTTGAAAATGAATTTTTATTCACTATCAGGTGATATGGTTTGGAATCCTCAAAATTTACTTACTATTTTTTAGGATACTGTGGCCAATGATTTAATTTGATTAAATTTTCCTTATATATAATTTCTCTAATAAACAAAAATATAAACGCCAATTATTTCAATTTTAATTTAGTGAAAAACTCAAAAAATTCCCTATAGTTTTCCTTTGAATACTAACCCCCTCATGCTTTTTTTTAATCATTTACATGTTACGGCTCTATGATTCTTTTTATCCAAACCCCTCCTTACATTACCATTGTTATAAACTTGGGAAAACTTCAAAAACACCCCTACAAGTTTCTTTAAAATCACTTAACCCCCTCCCCGAAATTTTTAACCATTTACCCTCCTATTTAAATTTTTTTTATCACTTACTCCCCTAATTTGATTTTTCACCCAAAATTTTGTTAACAGAGTTAAATTTTTTAAAAAATACAAAAATTACCCTTAATAGAAAAAAGAAAAACATAATTTCTTCTCCAAAGCAATTTTAGAAGAACTCATGGAATGTTTTCTTTAAGGTAGCCTTGTTAGAATTAGTAATTATTAAAATTATTTCCTACAAATTCCATTGCTATTAAACACCGCACTCACAATTGTTGGTGTCGTTCAAATAAAATGATTAAAGAGGCATCATCTCAGCAGGTTTATATCTTCCCTTTTCTATTATAAGATTTTTTGCTATTATATGACTAACAAATCTGACTTTAGGCAAATTTCCAATCTGAATCTAGGTTTATATTCGAATTCCAAGAACCCACAAGCAATACAACTTCCCAAATCGTATTTCATGTATAAAATTAAAAACTTAATAAAACCAAAACTTAATAAAACCAGTATGCCAAATTCTTTTAAGTCATTATACATGGGCTAAAAATATCAACGAGTTGATTACAAAGAAACCAACATGATACTCAATAGAATCGTTCAGTAATAATTCCCTAAGATGTAAATCATTCACAATATCAAATATAATCAAAATGAAAAAAACTTGCCACCGTTTAAAAGTAATAGTTTTAAGGAAAAACTTCAAAAAAAACTCCTACAAGTTTTCTCAAAATCACTTAACCCCCACCTCGAAATTTTTAATCATTTTATTTGAACAACAACACCAACAATTATGAGTGCGGTGTTTAATAGCAATGGAATTTGTAGAAAATAATTTTAATAATTACTAATTCTAACAAGACTACTTTAAAGAAAACATTCCGTGAGTTCGTCTAAAATTGCGTTGGTGAAGAAATTATGTTTTTCTTTTTTCTATTAAGGGTAATTTTTGTATTTTTTTAAAAAATTAACTCTGTTAACAAAATTTTGGATAAAAAATCAAATTAGGGGGTAAGTGATAAAAAAATTTTAAGTAAGGGAGTAAATGATTAAAATTTTTGGGAAGGGGATTCAGTGATTTTGAAGAAACTTATAGGGAGTTTTTTTGAAGTTTTCCCTATAAACTTAACTAATATATTTATTTTATCTTTCTTACAAGAAAAAAAATAAAGTGATGACAAAAAAAAGGACTAAATATTTGAAAACTTATACATTTGAGTTCTCTTTTTCAACAGTTAATGCAGATAAGTTACCTGCAGTAAGCCTAATACGAAGTCGTTTTGAGGCGAAAATCATGATGTTTTTCTTCAGGGTTACAGTCTTTATAATTATAATTTTCTAATCTTTCAATCCCAAAACGACGTCGTTTTGGAAGTAAATGCAGATAACTTATCTGCATTAACTGCAGAAATATTTTTCTGATAACATTTACAGAATCAAATTATTTTCATTTTTCTTTACATTAATCTTTTATATTATTGTTATAAGTTTCTAACATATTTGGTGTTATTTTTTCTTCTATTTTTTTCCTTAATCTATTTTGTTCTTTTTTATTTAGATATATTTGATCTTTTGTTATTTTTTATTTTTACTTTCAGTCTTTTCTGTAAGTGATATAAGTTTTCAAGATATTTGGTCTTTTTTTTGTTTCTTCACTTTATTTTTTTAATCAAAGAACGGTAAAATATGTATATTAGTTATTTTTCTAACGGTATTAAAAAAATGTTTGGATAGAAAACATGACAGAGAGGTAAATAATTAAAAAAATATATAGGAGAAAGTGATTCAAAACAAAATCACAGGGGATTTTAATCTTTTCTCTTTAATTTATAAATATTGAGTGGTTGATGTAATTGAAATAAAAACTAAAAGTTTAAACAACCTCTATTTTATTTTTTATTTCTCTTCCTTCATCTTCTTTAAAAAGACCTTTTTATGAGAATCTTTTAGACATTCCCATCTACAGTAACGAGATTTTTCTTATACGTACCTATCAAAGTATAATTTAAAAAATTATTACCGCATACCAAAAAAAAAATTATTACCTACTTTTATATATTTTTTAAATTACATAAATATCCCTAAATTTTAATACGGAGCAAAAATTGTGACATTAGATATTCTTTTGTTGTCTTATATAACTTCTAAGTTTGTCATTCTTCTTGTCAATTTTTTTCTTGAGGATATTCTTGCAGTTCTTTTTTATATAATTGTGAAAATATAAAATATTTCGAGCTAATGACTTTAGATCAAAATGAAGTTTGAAAAATAAAATATATTTAAAATCAATTATGTAAACTGTAATTCAAACATACACTAAGATGTTATGTAAATGTTTAAGAATGATTTTATTATATTTCTTAGACAGTTGTGCTTGGAAGTGTTATGCACAAGTCTAATTTTGTCATAATTTTAAAAGTTAAGTTTTATTTAGAAAAACATGAATGGAACTGAGAAGGAAGCTCTCATACTCTTATACTTTATCAAAACCAGGGATGCCATTGCCATTTACAGAAAGAGAGAAGGGAAACAACAGAAGGAAATTTCCTAAAGAGTTGTTGATCAAGTAAAGTCTTAACTAGATTTCAGGATTTGACCTATAAAAAAGTAGTGGTTTCCAATCCTGAAACTTGCAATTTTTGAATTGAGTGAAAGGACTCAAACCTTAAAATGGATTATTGAGGTTCATTAGATCTTTGAACACTGATGGGTAATCAAAGGGGGAAGGAAATTTTATCATAAACATCGATGCCTTTTTGGATTCCTTGATGCTGAGTGGTTCTTGACACTAGCATTTGAAGCAGAGGTGATAGCAGCAAAGTTGAGAATATTAGGATCCAAAGACTGTGAGGATGCAAGTGTTCGTTTCTTCTGAAATGAATTCCATGTATTTGGAAAGGTATTCAGCTCAATCCCAGAGCCAGTGGTATCAAAGTCTTTAACTTCAAGAGGTGGAATTTTGATTTCTTGCAAAGGAGGTGGATTTTGCCATGTAGGAAGTGGTCCTGCATGAAGGAGTGTCTGAAGCAATGGACCAGCATCCATTACAGCTTGAAGGAGTTTTCCCTGTTGTGGCAACACTTTTTCTTTTGCAATGCATTCAATCACTGCATCTGCAATATCAGACATGGGCTCTTCAGCATTGAAGTCTTGAACCAAAGGCTCTGCATCTGCAATATCAGACATAGGCTTTTCAGCACTGAAGTCTTGAACCAAAGGCTGGTGGTTTATATAACCCATGTTATGGGATTCAACAACCTTGATGTCTGAAAACTCTGGAGAAGACACTGCATCAAAAAAGGAATCAATAGGAGAGGTGACATGTGATAAACTGTTGTTGGATTCTGTAATGCTCGAATTTGCTTTAACTGCTGGAAGCATTAAAAGGCTTTCGTCTTGGATTTCAACTATTGTGTTTTTCAACTCGTTTGATGTTGAAGATACTAGCTCGGTCATTAGTTTCTGGAGTTGTTCTCTGGCTTCGTCTCTCTCTTGGTAAGCCTCCTTAAGCAGATCGAGCAATTCCATCTTCAAGTTCCTCGTTGCCTCAAGTTCGAGTGTGGTATCTAGAAGCTTTTGCCTCAAGTCCTCACCTTCCTGCAAAAAAACAAATAAGGAAAAAAAGTCAATGAATAAAGAAGACAATAAATCCTCACATATGAAACAAATACAGAGACAGCTTAAGAAATAAGAGTACTTATATGCAGTGAAGGATGGTAGAGAGCAAGATAAACATAGAGAGCATGAGTGGGAAGAGAATTATAGAATAACCCACCTCTTGATAATTGAATATGGAACTCAAGGGGTCTTCCATTCTCCGTTGTGAAAGAAAATGGCAACGATTGGAAAACAAAAGTATTGGATAGAGAGAAATTTAACAAAAACTCTTTGAATTGAAATGCACACTTTTCGTTTACACATTGCAGCCTTATATAAAGGTTTCGTTACAAAAATCAGAATCTCCTAATAAAAGCGCCTTAAATAAAAAAGCTTGATTACATATGATCAGAATTAAATAAAAAGCTTGATTACAGATGATCATAATCTCCTAATAAAGAGCAATTACAAACTGATCAAAATTTCCTAATAATCCTAACATATTAACAGAATCTCCTAATAAAGGTGTCTTAAATAAAGGCTTGATTGGATATTGTTACAGCTTTCTTGATAGAATTGAATTTGGGTATTAACTCTCATTTATAGAGAGAATGAATGCAGATGAGACAAGGCAAAAAAGGATGGGAGAGAAGGTGGGGACTTCTGCACCAAGATTCATAGAACCTTGACCCTCTCAATAAAAATCAAGTAATGCCCAAAATTTCCTTGTAGAAAAATTGTAGAGTTTTCGGTGATGTGTTTGAAAAATCTCCGAAATTCTCCCCTTTTTTAAGGACCCGTGTCTGGTTAATGGTTATATTTGGTTATGTTTTTCTTATATATTATCCCTCAAATAAACAAAAGAGTATACGGCAAGTTTATTAGTAAAAGTCGAGTTGTATGTGTTTTTGTTTGTCTTTGACTTCACTTGACTTGGCCTTTTTGAAAATAGTTGAACTCATTAAAAATTTGTTTAGGAATCAGGCCACACGCTTATTTGAACAACCCAGCTCGTACTTGTCTTGATCATGGTCGAGTTCCATGAGGAATTTCTTCATCCACAGCATCTCTTTGCTTGCCTCAGTAGCGGCAATGTACTCAGCCTCTGTTGTAGATAGTGCAACACATTTCTGAAGTCTTGATTGCCAAGAGACAGCTCCTCTGAAAAATCTCATCAAATATCCTGTAGTCGACTTCCTCGAGTCAGCGTCTCTCCCTAAATCAGAATCCGAGTAGCCTTGCAACTCGGCTTTGCCTTATCCAAATCGGAGACATAAGTCGGTCGTACCTCGGAGGTACTTGAAGATCCACTTCACTGCTTCCCAGTGCTCTTTGTCGGGGTTTGACAAATACTGGCTTACCATTCCAACAGCATACGCCAAGTCGGGTCTAGTGCAAACCATTGCATACATCAAGCTTCCGACGGCGGATTGGTAAGGGACCTTCATCATCTCATCTTTGTCTTCATCAGATCTCGGACATTGCTTCTGGTTCAGCTTTATGTGTCCGGCAAGGGGGGTGCTCACTGTTTTGGCTTTGTCCATGCTGAATCTCTTCAGAATCTTCTCAATATATTTCTCTTGCCTTAGCCACAGTAGCTTCTTCTGTCTATCTCGGATGATCTTGATTCCGAGAATCTGCTTTGCAGGACCGAGGTCCTTCATTGCGAAGGACGAGCTCAACGCTTTTTTCAGGGCGGCTATCCTCGATTTATCTTTCCCTACAATAAGCATGTCGTCAACATATAACAACAAAATCAGAAAATCTCCGGCCTCATACCTCTTCACAAATACGCAGTGGTCGGCATCTGTCTTTTCAAACTTATGACCACTCATGAATGATTCAAACTTCTTGTACCACTGCCGAGGTGCTTGCTTCAAGCCATAAAGGCTCTTTTTCAACCGACATACTAAGTCTTCTTGGTCTGGAGCTTGGAACCCTTCTGGTTGCTCCATATATATCTCTTCTTCTAAATCACCGTGAAGAAATGCCGTCTTCACGTCCATTTGTTCTACCTCGAGGTCCATTGAAGCCGCCATGGCTAACACGGTTCGGACCGAGGTCATTTTCACAACAGGAGAAAAAATCTCCTCAAAATCAACTCCTTTCTTCTGATTGCAGCTTTTCACTACAATTCGGGCTTTGTATCTCGGCTTTTGCCCATTCTCTTCATTCTTAATCTTGTAGACCCATTTATTTTTCAAAGCTCGTCTTCCTTTAGGCAACTCGGTCAGCTCATAAGTCTGATTCTCGTGCAGAGACTTCATCTCGTCTCGCATTGCCTTTTCCCATTCTTCTTTCTCTGAGCTTGTCACAGCCTCATCATAACTCTGAGGCTCACCGTCTTCAGCAACAACGGTGTATTCATCGGATGGGTATCTTGTAGAGGGTCTTCTTTCTCGAGTTGGATATCTCGGCTGTTCTTCAGCTTGAGAACCCGGTTCATCAATTTCATCCCGGATCTCATCATCAACTCGGACCTCAGTGTCTTGGTCATCTTCAGCTTGTTGCTGATCATCATTTTCTTCATTTTCTTGATTTTCTCCCACTGCTTCAGCTTGGACAGGAGGGATGGGTTCTTCACGTCTGACAGTAACCCGAACATTGGGCTTCGAGATGTCATGAATGTTCTCATGCTCATGAAAGATCACATCTCGGCTTCTCACGATCTTCTTATTGATTGGATCCCAAAGTCGAAACCCGAACTCGGATTTTGGTGAACCGAGATAGATGCATTCTTTTGTCTTCGCATCAAGTTTTGCCCTTCCATCTTTAGGGATATGCATGAAAGCTCGACATCCAAACACCTTCAATTGATTGTAGGCCGCTTTCCGACCTGTCCAGACTTCTTCTGGAATTTCTCCTTCAAGTAGCCGTGATGGTGAGAGGTTGATCAAGTCAACAGCAGTTTTGACGGCTTCTCCCCAGAATGATTTTGGTAACCCGATATTGGATATCATGCTTCGTACCTTCTCTTCAATTGTTCTGTTCATCCTCTCAGCAAGTCCATTCAACTGTGGAGTCTTGGGGGGCGTATTCTCAAGTCGGATCCCGGCCGCTCTGCAGTATGCATCAAATGGGCCGCAATACTCACCACCATTATCAGATCGGACCACCTTCAATTTCTTGCCAGTCTCCCTTTCAACCATAGCATGGAATTCTTTAAAGGATTGGAGTACCTGGTCTTTAGACTTCAACAAATATACCCACACTTTGCGGGAATGGTCATCGATAAATAAAACAAAGTACTGAGCTCCTCCAAGAGATTTCTCCGACATGGAGCAAACATCAGTATGGACGAGGTCAAGAATATTCCTTCGTCTTCTTGGTTGATCCGGTCTCACAAAAGAAACCCGGTGCTGCTTTCTAGCTAGGCAGTGCGTGCAACTCTCCAACGCTTGGCCTTTCAACCCGGTCAATAATCCTTTCTTGTTCAGGATCTGTAGCCCTTTCTCGCTCATGTGGCCGAGGCGCTTGTGCCATAGCTCCAAGCTAGGTTCATCTCTGACAGAATTGGCTTCTCCGCCGTTAATCTTTCCTTGCATCACGTACAAGGAGCCTTCCTTCTTACCTCGGGCCATAACCAAGTTTCCCTTGGCCAGCTTCCATCTAACACTACCGAAGTAGTTCACTAACCCGGCATCGTCAAGTTTGCCTATCGAGATTAGGTTCAAACGCATGTCAGGAACATGCCTTACGTCTTTCAGCACAAGTCGGCATCCGACATCTGTGGTCAGAGTTACATCACCGACACCAACAATCTTGCTGGTCACTTGATTTCCCATCTTCACGACTCCAAAATCACCACCTCGATAAGAGGAGAAAAAACCTTTGTGTGGAGTAACGTGGAAGGAGGCACCGAAGTCAACAATCCAGGTGCAGTCATCATATGCAACATTCAAATAATTATCCTCACCAAGGAGGAATATCTCGGCATTCGAGTTTGCAGCCACCGCAGTGGTGCTCTTGTCTTCCCTCTTCTTGGGAATAATCTGATTCGGCTTCACAGAGCCGTTCTTCTCGTCATTTTACAAGTCCAGCAATCTGGCTTCTTATGGCCTGTCTTTCCACAGTAAAAGCACTTCAACTCATATTTCGGCTTTGACCGACCTCTGGACTTGTCTCGTCTGTCTCGACCTCTACCGCGACTCTTACTTCTACCACGGGAGTCAGATTTCCCTTTATTCTCAGCAACGTTGGCCTCAGACGTACTCGAAGTACCTCATTCTCTTCTCCTGGATTCTTCGCCCAGGAGGCTGTCTGTCACGACATCCATCTTCAATTTTCCATCTGGAGACGAGTTATTCAGGGTCACCACCAGAGTATCCCAGCTTTCTGGCAGCGAGCTCAATAGCAGCAATGCCTGCAATTCTTCATCAATTTTCATATCAACCTTTGACAGCTGATTCACAATACCTTTGTAGGTTTTCAGGTGTTCAATCATGCTCATTCCGTCCTTGTATTCAAGCTTAACAAGTCGGCGAACTAGGTGTGCTTTGTTCCTAGGAGTCTTCTTCTGAATCATGGACTCTAATTTCGTCCACAACTCATACGCGTTCGTGAATTCGGACACGTGCTCAAATAGGCTTTTATCAATATATTTCCTGATCGTGGCTACCTCCTTTCGACTCAGGATCTCCCACTCCTTAGCAGTTTTGCATGCCGGTCTCTCATCAAGGATAATGGGCTCATGCAAATCTTTGCAGTAGAGATGATCTTCCATCATCGGTCTCCAATATGTGAAATTATCTGCGGTCAACTTGAACATATCTCCATCATGAGTTATGCCACTGGTCTCCATCTCGTGTCCCTCAGAACCCGTCGAACTCGGGCTCTGATACCACTTTGGGAAAACTCGGTTCCCTCAAGCTCGGCTCAGGGGCTTTTGTGCCGAAGTCAATCAATAAAGAAGACAATAAATCCTCACATATGAAACAAATACAGAGACAGCTTAAGAAATAAGAGTACTTATATGCAGTGAAGGATGGTAGAGAGCAAGATAAACATAAAGAGCATGAGTGGGAAGAGAATTATAGAATAACCCACCTCTTGATAATTGAATATGGAACTCAAGGGGTCTTCCATTCTCCGTTGTGAAAGAAAATGGCAACGATTGGAAAACAAAAGTATTGGATAGCGAGGAATTTAACAAAAACTCTTTGAATTGAAATGCACACTTTTCATTTACAGATTGCAGCTTTATATAAAGGCTTGATTACAAAAATCAGAATCTCCTAATAAAGACGCCTTAAATAAAAAAGGCTTGATTACAGATGATCAGAATTAAA